GGGGGGGGGGGGGGTGTTTAGTTGATGTTCTTTAACTTTTTTTTTTCGCTATTCTCGGATCAGTTCACTATGGAGATGGTTGGTGCGGAGTTTGGTAACATGCCGAAGAGCTATTCTCTGAACATGTTCAAAGACTTTGTTCCGATGGGTGTCTTCTCCGAGGCAAACCAAGGTTAGGGTTATCTGATCATTTACACCATCTCTCTGCACGTTTTGCTTATGCTTTTACTTCATTTAAGGCAAGATTTTGTGAGTGATTCTGATTATTCTGTGAAAATGTTGCTTCTTGTCAACGATTAATCTATTTTGCTTGTCAGTTTTTTTACTTGTTCGAGCTTGTTACAGGTAGGGTAGCTGTAGAAGGAAAGGTAGATCATAAATTTGATATGAAACCCCATGGTGAAGACATTGAAGAATATGCTAGGCTTTGTCGGGAGAGGACCAACAAATCCATGGTTAAAAATAGGCAAATACAGGTAACTAAACAGTAAACATGTGGTCTTCGAGTTTTCATTGCCAAAGTTTTTTCTTTTAATGGATTTATCTGTTAGCTAATTGGGCACATGCCTCTTCCTTGAATTGCAAAGGTCATTGATAATGACCGTGGAGTACATATGAGGCCGATGCCTGGAATGCTTGGCCTAGTTTCCTCTAATTCCAAGGTAATGTTGTTCTTTTCTCGTATCGTCTCTTCACAAGAAAAATCGAACTCTGTTTTTTGTTTTTTGTCAAAGAATCACTTAACGTCATGTGAATTTTATTTGTTTTTGTAATCATATTGTCAATATCTGATTCTGAAGTAGCAAGAGGACTGATGGTGAATGAATTGGTGTCCTCTCCTTCATAACTCTATATGACCAGGAAAAGAAGAAAACTGCTCCAGTTAAGCAACCCGATGTGAAGAGGACTAGAAGAGATCGTGGTGAACTCGAAGCTATAATGTTCAAACTATTTGAAGGGCAACCCAACTGGACTCTCAAACAGCTTGTACAAGAGACCGACCAACCAGCGGTATGTTTTGTTTCTTGATTTCTGATCAAGTGATTACGGATTTCATAAGAATCGTGGTAACCGATAGCCCGTTTTTAGATAGTCTGATTTCTGGCACGACCTTATTTCGGATTTTGACATGTTGAAAATGAATTTTGCAGCAATTCTTGAAGGAGATACTGAACGAGCTGTGTGTGTACAATAAGAGGGGATCCAACCAGGGGACCTACGAGCTTAAACCCGAATACAAGAAAGCTTCTGAAGATACAAGTGGCCAGTAATCTCGGCCTCGACACCACTATGTAACTATAATTACGTTCACTACTTTGAAGTTGGCCCGATTAATCGGTATCGGCCCCTGAATATGTGCCATAGCATAGGATTATATTATAAATCTAGAGAGGCATCACGTGAAAACGTTGGAGATAAAAGGGAAGGGAAGAGAAGGGAAGGGAAGGGAAAACCAAGGGAAGGGCTAGGATCGTTTTGTTGTCCGAGAAGCTAAAATATGAATGTGATTGTTATATTCAATGATTACTTATGTGCTTTGAAAAATCTGGTAAGTTGAGTTTCGTGTAATCACCCAATTGCATGTTCCAGTGCAGGGGTTGGGTATTTCGGGTTTGAAGTTTCGGGGTTCGGTTTGGTATTTATTGAGTTCGGTTTTGGGAGCGGTTTATTTGGTTTTACAAAATTTGTACTAAATTAGAATTTAGAATGATGATTAAGTTTTCATGTTGGTTTGGAGCGTTTTTGTTATATAAATACCAAATAGGAATCAAAACTTGTGATGGGTCGGTTCGGTTCTAATCGGATTGGATCCGACCCGATCGGTTTTCCTTTAATCATATATACTCTGTTTTTTGTTCGATTTCTCTTTTAGTTGTTCTTCTATTATTAGGGAAAATAGTATAAAAACTCTAAAACTTTTCAAATTTAACAAATTAATAGATAAACTAAAACTTTTATAAAAAAGAATCTTCAACTAATACAATTTATATAAAAATTAAACTCTTAAAATTTTGACAAAATTTATTCATATGGATTGAAATTATGATGACGTGCTGTTTAGGGGATAAGTCCATATGTATGTACGAATGGATCGATCAAGACTAGGGTCTAGGGTCTAGGGGTTGGTATTTTAATTTGAACCCAATAACACATAACAATACATTACAAAACCGAATAAATAGTTTCATGAACAAACTCAACAAATACCAGATCGAAGCTCAAAATGCCTACTCTGATCTAATATAAGAAATGGATTGACATAATTTTTCTAAAATTGGAAAACATTATTTTGGTAACCGAGTGTTGTAGACCAAGAACCACATTAATTTTGGGGTCGGAGGTCATCCATATGATTTGGAATACGCACATCATTTCTCCAAATTTGACGTTCGGATTCAGAATGGGACAGACACTTTGCGCCCATTTTCAGCGGTTGAACTATCCAAGTTTGGGTTCAGAAAACATGGAATCGAGAATATAATCATCCGACCCTAACGTAGACGTTGAACAATGAGTCTCTTCAAGAGCTGAGGCGTCGATAATGGAGGTTGCACAATATGTCTCCCACTGATGAAAACGTTTAACGTATGAAGATAACGTCAAGAGCGAGACATCCACTATGGAGGGTCACGCAAAGCATGATTCTGATTGAAGTGAAGGTTTCCAAAAACGAGATTTATGAGCAAACGAATCAGAATATTATATGTGAGATTCCACTGTCTATGAAGATTCTTGATCGTTGAATGTAAGCCATAGAAGGAGCGATCATAAACCTGGGCCACTTTATGAATGTTGTGTCGAGTGCATGCGACTTGGGAGCGACCATAGTGGAATTTTCGTTAATATCCCTTGCCTGGATTGTATAAGTGGCAGACCAATAATATATATGTATATATATTGCTGATTTATTTTTTTTCTAAAATAACATGGAAAACAAAACATAGTGCTTAACGAATTGGAAATGTAGAGAATTTATATAATATTAAAGCTATATTCACATATGCCCACATCTCGCAATATTAAATGAACCTTTAAATATATATATATTTAAAGGTTCATTTTTGCAAAATTGGGCCAATATCAAGGTTTCTTTTTAGTATGTTTTATGGGTCAACCTTGCAAATTATATTTAATAGAAAATACATACTATTTTAAGTGTATAATCCAAAGGTGACTAATAAAAAAAAGAAAGAAAAGAAAAGAATATGGCATTTTCCGTGGAATTACTAGTCAAACTAGTGATTAAACCCCAAGAAAATGTTTGCACTTTATTTATATTTCAAAAAATAAGTCTAAATAAAAAGTGATAAAAGTTATGGTGTTTGAGTGGAAAATGTGATTCTTGGACAGAGAATATAATGGAAAGCAATAAGTAGTGAAATTATGACAGTAACATTATCGGCAGTTTAATCATGTCGGGCCAAAAAATCTAACTAAATCACTAAATTAAATTCCACGTCAAGATGGTGGAGTGCGTTGTGCATGCAAAGCCAAACAAACACAATCAAGATAAATCATGAAATGTTTATTCATATGCTTTACATATCGCATGCAAAAATCCAATATGAAGTGTTGTTATTCGATAAATATCTTAAACAATTAATTAAAATAACGAAAGTAAAGTTTTTGTCGTTAATCGGGTGGTTGTTGTCATATTTAAGGGCTTATTATACGTTTAATATATAACCACATGTCGAATTTAAAAAATTATTTAAATCATACGAATTACTAAATATTTGATAACAAACACAAACTAAAATTTTACGTTCGTCAGTAAGAGCAACTAATTTCTATATTGTTGTGTTGTTATTTACATCTAATATGGATATTACGTCATATATATGTCACAGTTTTTTTTCCCTTTGTTAACGTGGAAAGTTAGGGTTGAGACTTGAGATCATTGCAAATTTTTTTTTAATTAAAAACACAAAATTATTCATTGCTAAGAATACGAATCCCACATATTTTTACCATATTCCCATGAAATTGACATAGATTAAGTATTTTGTGAATATTCAAGAATCATTTTTTATTTGATCAACAGAAAAACCTTCATTCATTAATAACATTTTATACTTGTACTTCAATCATAATTATTTGATTGGGTAATACACTCGTAAAAAACGATATAGATATCCATGAAAAATATGTAATGTACAAGTGCGTTTGAAATCCATAAACTCATACTCAAACAAACCAAATTCATGATTAATTATGCTATACAAGATGAGATTCGAACTCTTGAAGTTTTATTTGGTCCAAAAATCGTTTATCCTTGTAATTATTATTAAAACCCATTAATGTGGCTATCAAGGGATTATATTTAAAATCATCTTCTTGGAATCTGAACAAGCTACTTAAGCTCAAAGGAAAATCGAGACCTTTTTTAAAGGTATAACTTGGTAATGGTCGAAAGACACGTTTCTGGACAGATAATTGGTGTAGGTTGGGGCCGCTGATTGACTTCATCGGTGAGCAGGGGCCTCGTCTCATGAGGCTGCCTAGGAACTGTGTTGTTGTAGATGCTGTGAAGTCTGAAGGTTGGATGATACCTGGTGCCCGCTCGGCGCGGATCCAAGAACTACACATCGCTTTAACAGGTATCCCCCACCTTCAGAAACGGATGGACCGGATATTACATTATGGAAACACGATGATGATGATTTCAGGCACGTATTCTCTGCCGCAAGGACATGGAAGGTTCTCAGAATTCCATCTCCCTCGGTAGCATGGTGCCCATTGGTCTGGTTCCAGCTAGAAATCTCACGCTATTCTATGGTACAATGGCAGGCCTTGATGAAGCGACTGCCCACCAAGGATCGGTTAAACAGGTGGGGTCTTACAATCGACACCCAATGCACACTATGCACTGATGCGACTGAAGAAAACCATGAGCATTTGTTCTTTTACTGTCCATATAGTTCGAGCATTTGGACTTATTATGCAGAAAAATGTTGGCGAGATCCACCCTTAGCTCTTGACGACTGTGCTACATGGTTTAACGAACCTGGTGATAGAATTTGGTTTATAAAAATGTGATTGAATCAATTTATGATGAGGATTACATCTCATATATATATACAATGCATAAAAGACATAATGACATAAAACATGGAAGAAAACATGGAAGAGACATGGAGGAAAACATGGAGGAAAACATGGAGGAAATTAAGTATAATTAGTGGCATAATTTTAGGAAAATAATTGTAATAGATAATAATAATATATCAATATACTAACATGCCCCCGCAAGATCGGTGTCGGATAGAAGACCGATCTTGGACCGAAGAAACTCAAACCGTTGGCGGGGGAGAGATTTGGTGAGAGCATCGGCAAGTTGATCCGCAGATGAAACATGAGAGACGCGAAGCTTCTGAGCTTGAACGAGACCCCGAATGTAATGGTAATCAATGGCAACATGTTTCATCCGAGAATGAAAAACAGGATTCGCCGATAGATATGTAGCACCAATATTATCGCAGTAAATAACCGGCATATGAGAGAACATGACACCGAGCTCAGAGAGGAGAGACATAAGCCATTGTACCTCGGATGCTGTCGAGGAAACTGATTTGTACTCGGCCTCAGTGGAAGATTTGGCAGCAAAGCGTTGTTTCTTGGACGACCATGACACAGGAGTGCGTCCAAGATAGACAATGTGAGCTCCCGTCGAAGAGAAATCATCACGATCACCTCCCCAGTCGGCATCCGAAAATGCATGTAGTGAGAGAGGAGATGAACGTGAGATGAAAACTCCGAGGGATCGAGTGCCATTCAGATATCAGAGAATACGTTTGAGGGCTTGCAAATGATCCGAGCACGGACGATGCATGTATTGAGATAGTTTGTTGACGGCAAATGCAATGTCAGGCTGAGTGAAAAGAAGATATTGTAAGCTACCCAAAATCTGACGGTACTCGGTAGGATCGGCGAGAGGAGAACCAGCGTTGAGTCAGAGGCTCAAGGTAGATGGGAGCGGGGGTGGGACAGCCTTGGCATCTGCCATAAAATGTCGTGCAAGAACGTCAGAAATGTACCGTTGTTGAGTGAGGAGAACACCGGTTGATGTGCGGTTGACTTCGACGCCAAGAAAGTATGATAATGAGCCGAGATCTTTGATAGAGAACCGACGAGCGAGGACATCAATGAAGCTCTGCACATCCTTCGAGTGGCTACCCGTGATAATGATATCGTCAACGTACACAAGAACATAGATAGTAACAATATCACGGGTAAGAATGAACAATGAGGTATCAGAGAGGGAGTTAATAAACCCGCACTCAAGGAGAAATTGGCCAAGTTCATTTTACCACGCTCGAGGAGCTTGCTTGAGACCGTAAAGAGCTTTATGGAGCTTGCATACGAATGATGGCTGATCTTTGTCGATGAAGCCTGGCGGTTGAGTCATGTATACATCATCGTCAAGAGTGCCTTGAAGGAACGCATTATTGACATCAAGTTGGCGAAGAACCCAACCTTTGGAAACCGCAATGCTCAAGACAACACGGATAGTGGCATGTTTGATGACAGGACTGAATGTGTCTGTGTAATCAATCCCAGGCCGTTGGTGA